TTTTAATATTTTGTTGAGAATCCTTTACATGCAATGGCTGCCTTAAGTCTGGAACTCATGGACATCACCCGAGACTGGTTTCCTCCTTTGTGATGCTTTGCCAGGCCTTTACTGCAGCTGACTTCAGTTGTTGTTTGTTTGTGGGTCTTTCTGCCTTTAGTTTTTTCTTCAGCAAGTGAAATGCATGCTCAATCGGGTTGAAATCAGGAGATTGATTTGGCCATTGCAGAATATTGCACTTTTTTACCTTCAAAAACTCCTGGGTTGCTTTTGCTGTATGTTTTGGGTCATCGTCCATTTGTACTATGAAGCGCCGCCCAATCAACTTTGCTCCATTTGACTGAATCTGGGCAAAGAGTATATTCCTATACACTTCAGATTTCATCCTGCTTAATTGATGTAGAAAAAATGAAAGAATAGCCCAATCCTGTCCATGAAACAGCTTTTGAGTCAATTGTCCAATTACTTATGGTCCCTTGAAAAAGGGGGGAGGTACATATTAAAGAGCTGTAATTCCTTAACCTTTCCTCTAATTTTGACGAGACCCTCAAATTAAAGCTCAGAGTGTGCACTTTAAAGGGGTCATATGATGTTGCTAAAAATAACATTATTTTGTGTATTTGGTGTAATGAAATGTGTTTATGCGGTTTAAGGTAAAAAAAAACACATTATTTTCCACATACTGTACATTATTGTTTCTCCTCTATGCCCCGCCTTTCTGAAACGCGTAAATTTTTACAAAGCTCATCGGTCTGAAAAGCAAGGTGTGCTGTGATTGGCCAGCTATCCAGTGCGTTATGATTGGCCGAATTCCTCAAGCATATGACGGAAATGTTACTCCCCTCACCATATTGTGATGATGCCCTGTCAGGCCGGAGCGATGATTCAAAAACATGAAAACCCATTATAAATGAGGCATTCGTTGTGTCCAGAGGGGGCATAATTATGGATTATAATTCCTTATACTGTCTTTTTACGCGTTGCGTTGCATCGGCGGTGGATTCGATGAAGGAGGCTTGCGGCAACCACATGTGACGGCAACAACAATACTACAGCGAGAATAAAAGTTATGGGATCTTCAGGGATCTTATCTATGCACAATCAGCTTGTAACACTCCAAAGAGAAAGGACAACTTGAAATCGCATCATATGACACCTTTAACTGAAAATGAGTTGCGGTACTTAAGAAAACAGGTCATTTCCCACTGTTTCTTAAATTGGCATTTTTTCACTAACCTTGTTGATATTAAATGTCATCTTTCACATCAAATTCTTACATTGTTTCAATTCTTACATTGTTTAAATTAATTCAGTTAGAATAATAAGAAACTGTAGAGCTGTTACCATTCAAATGAAATCAGTATCAACAAACTCCAACTTTCCACTGCAGGAAACACAGAAGCTGCATCTGAAGTGGTATTAGATGTATTTACACAGACTGTTTGATGTAGCTGAGGTGCCAAAATGCATTTTGTTTGTTCGCTCGCTGTTGTATTTTAAAACACTATTGCAATGTTTTCAACTGACATCATGGCATTTAAAATAAAATGATCCCAAACGTTACTGTGGCGCATGTGGCTTCCATCGGCTGCTGCAGCAAAACACACGGTTGCTCACATGAAACAGTATGTGAGTATTATGACCAGTACTTAATTTGATCCTGCTGGATCCTGTTCCGGAAAATGTCAGATTTTACATTTTAGCGTTGCGGTAGGCCTATTTGTTTTTAAAAATCCGGCATTTACAGTGCATTAAATCGTGACAGTGCGTGCGTGTGCGTGTACGAGGACGGAGCGAGCGCGGGTTTGGCTAGATGTATTTGGAGGTTATTACTCACGTCTCATTCGGCACAAATCCAAATGTTTCCATATTCGTAATGTATTTGAATGTTAAACTATTATTTATAATGTAAACTAGGCTTGTACTTTACACGCATTCGCATATAGACGGAAAATATCATCCTCTTCACATAGGCAAAAACATCCTTGGCATAACAGCAGAGTGGACCGGTATACTACGGTCTATTTAAACTGACCAGTGTAACCTTTTATATGTTTGGTTGACTGTATTTTATTTTGATAATGAACAGACTGCGATGTAAGTTTGAATTGCGAGAATATAAAGTGTGTGCGCGAGGTGCCGGTGCGATCGAACAGCTGAAACATAAAAATCTAAATTTTTGGAGTGGGCCTAAGATATAATCCGCAAAAGTGTTTACTTTTATTTTTGCACACTCACAATGACATCAAGATTTGTGCTTTTGCTAAATAAAGCAAACAAACAGAATGCGCGTAGTCATCATTTCCTTTCCGTGAACTTGTTTATGGAGCGCCGCGCCACACTTCTGTTTTAAATCTGTTAGCTTAATTATTTAAGCCAGATATATTTCACTTTATTTATAAAAAAAACAAATTATTTTTATTTAGGCCTATTGCTTACATAGGCTATACATTTTCTTTAAAGCAGCCCATTTTGTCCCAGGGCTTGAAAACCTGTGCCTAGGCTAGTTAGGTCCATGCAGAAACTTGTGAACGATGCTCTTAGTTGTGGCATCACCATTTAGTGACATCGAATGCTCCGGAAAAACGTATAGTCAGTGTCGGTCACAGCGCCTTTTAATTGCTGTTTTGAATCCAGTAATTATTTATTTACAAATTATAAGCTCTGATTATGACAAGTGTGGTATAAAAGCTTTGTTTATTAGAGGAATAATTGGTTAGCTGGAAAATGTTACATCGCGACCATGCTTTTTGGATGCCGTTTGATCCCATATAGCCTACATTTACGCGGATTTGTTCTTGGTCACGAATTTCCACAAATTCAATAATATTTAGGCATTGTTTCTTTTCCTAAATCCTCACCGTCTAACCCTCTAATTTCGCAGGTTTATTTTATTGTCAATCACTTTGTATCACTGTTTTCGCATCTCTAACTGTGATAAACATGCGGGAAGGGAAATTAAAGATTTCATGGCCATGAATTAAGAATTCGTTCGATGTATTAATTTGTGTCACTCACAGCCGCTCGCACGTGTTTTGCGCATGAGCCGCAGGCAGCCCAAAATTAAACAACTTAATCGACCATCGATAGCTTTAATCGATTGCATCGCTTATCGACAATTAATCGATCATCGATTAATCGTTGACATCCCTAGTCTTGTACATTATGAATGAATGATGATGAATTTATATACCGTCACCGTCACTCACAGCCGCTCGCACGTGTTTTGCGCATGAGCCGCAGGCAGCCCAAAATTAAACAACTTAATCGACCATCGATAGCTTTAATCGATTGCATCGCTTATCGACAATTAATCGATCATCGATTAATCGTTGACATACCTAGTTCAAACGGCTGATTCATTCAGAAATGAGGCAAGTGACTACTGTCTTTATGAATGGGTTACTGAATCATTGACTCATTTGATTCATTCAAAAACGTGGATTAATTCAGTAACAAATCACCGCTTGTTTTTTTTCCTTTTTTTTCTTTAGCGATTTTAACAAATCAGATTGTGTCAAAGCAATTGTACAGCATTAATTAGGAAAATAGTGTGTCATTAATGCAAAATTACAATAGTAAACACTCAATTTTCAGTTAAAGGCAGTTCATCATTGAATTCAGTGATGTCATAATCCAGCTCAGTTCAGTTTAAATAGTATCTGTGCAAACAAGTCAACAATATTGCTGGAAATTAAGTGTCCCCAACTAAGCAAGCCAGAGGCGACAGCGGCAAGTCAGTGACAGAATGGAGAGAAAACCTTGGGAGAAACCAGGCTCTGTCGGGGGGCCAGTTCTCCTCTGGCCAGGCGAAACCAACAGTTCAATTCCAGGCTGCAGCAAAGTCACATTGAGCAGAGGACTCAATTGGTTCCTGTGGTCTTGTCCCGGTGGCCGTCTAGGACTGTGGTTCCCAACCCTAGTCCTGGAGGCACCCCAACACTGCATGTTTTGCATGTCTCCTTAATCAAATACACCTGATTCAGGTCATCAGCTCATTAGTAGAGACTCCAAGACCTGAAATTGGTGCATCATAGAAAGGAGACATGCAAAATGTGCAGTGTTGGGGTGCCTCAAGGACCAGGGTTGGGAACCACTGGTCTAGGAGACAAGGTCTTTACTGGGGATCTGTCTCTGGGGCTCATCTAGTTGTCCTGGTCTCCGCTGACATTCAGGGCTGTAGAGGTCATCTCCAGGTGCTGATCCACCATCTGGGCTGGATACAGACTGGATCCGGGTGACTGTGTTGCTCGGAGACTCAAAACAGCTCTGCTGTGGCTTTTATTGGAACTAATTTCTTCAGCAAAATTGAGAAACCAGTCAATTTTGTGTCTAAAAGTCACTTAATTTTAACTTCTTGTTTATTGAACTGCTATTGTATTAAATCACATTGCAATTGTGTTGAAACATTTTGGTCATGCTTACCTAAATCATATATTATATAGCCTATATATATATATATATATATATATATAATATTATAGAGCCTGCTTCAAAAACTCTCCTTCATAAACTGGACATTATTTACCACGCTACAATCCGCTTTGTGACTGGAGCTTCTTTTAACACTCACCATTGCCACTTGTATTCTTTATTGAACTGGTGTTCTCTTCATTCTCGTAGACAAATTAATTGGTTTCTGTTCATTTATAAAACTCTTTTATCGGGAAAACTCCATCATATTTACAGTCACTTCTTAAAACTCATTTGTTTTGATTTCTGCATGAGTCTCTCTCACACACTTAGGCTGCGCAATCCTCATCTGGCATGACATAAATACATTATCAGTCGCTGTAAGTGTGACGTCAAGGCAAGGTCTGGAGTGAAAAGGTCAAGGTTTTAGCAAATCTAGTTGATAGATGTGACCAAAATCAAGTTGTTTTGAGTGTGGTGAGACAACTCCCTAATTGTTTATCTTACCGAAATGAGCTGGAAATTAGAACAGACTTTATGCCCATAGTCATAAAGCAAGAATTGTGCCTCTGTGAATTCCTCTATAGATGCAGCAGGAGTTGGAGAGACTCAGAGAGCAGCTGGATCAGTCAGAAGGTGGACGAGACACCCTTCTTCAGAAGGTGATTTTTTCCCCCCTTCTTTCACTGATTTATGTTTTGCTACAACACTGCCTGATGCAGAGATGTTTTCATTTGTTCACCTAAAAATTTAAATTGTCATCGAGTCCCCCTCATATTATTCTTACCTTTATGTTATTCTAAACCTATTCTAAAGTTTTCATTTTCCATTTGGAGGTACGCTATATTTATAAAACATGCTTTTGCATCCCTAATGTGCTTTTTTAAATGTATTTTTATGCCGTTTTGAAGTTTGATCTGCTTCATTATTAATCTTAGGATATGGAATGAATGGTCTCATGGGCAATAATTGCATGGAAGAGAGTGGACAGCACAATTCTTAAAAATTGTTTATCTTTGATTAAAGAATTGTATGTAGGTTTGGAACAACATGATGCATGAGGAAATGGTGGACAGAGTTTTCATTTTCTTAATGTGTGGGTCTCTGCTGTTGGCCTGCAGATGGATGACATGCGTTCACAGCTTCTGAGGATGGAGAAGGAGCGTTTAGATTTGCAAAGGGAGTTGTCTTTACTCCTGTCTCAGCAGAAAAGTGCAAGGAGACAGCAGGAGAGAGGAGTCACAGGCCTTGACAGCGGTAACATATGTTGAGTCTGGTTCAAGTGTTTTGTGAATTGTATACCGTTTAACCACTATGTGTATGTGCGTTTCCCCCAGGACGAGCAGAACTGGAGAGAGAGATTGAAGATCTGCGGGTGCAGTTGGGTAGAATCAGTGTTTCTAGTGAGGTGGAAGAACTGAAAAAAAGCGTAGAACGAAAAGAGAGAGAGAAAACTCAGCTCGCTTTCCGGGTCGAGGTTTGTGTGTTTGATATTGTATTGTGCAAGTGCTCAACAGGTTTGATTTAATCTCTAGTAATCTTTCATTTTTCAAAATGATTTCATTAAAGTGCAGTGAGAGTCCCAGAGTACAGATCGTTCCATTCAAACACTACAGAGGAACCAGAGTTACAGCCCCAGGCCTCTAGTCCTCTGCTGAATAAATATAATAATTATTATAATTAATACATTTTATATATATATATATATATATATATATATATATAATTAGTTAATTATAATTAGTTAATTATAATAATTATTATATTAATATATATAATTAATAATAATAAATTCTTTCATCTCTCTAGGCTCTTTCTGCAGATCTGGAGCGACGTGAACAGCAGCAGTTGAAGATGTTGGCCCAACTGAAGGAGATCCAGTCTCGTTCAGAGGAAAATGTGTCAGAATGTGGCCGTCTGGAGGCTCAGCTGATCGAGAGCGAGAGAAGGAGAGAGGAGCTGCGCTCTAAAGCTCAGGAAGCAGTCCGACAGTGGAAGACTAAGTGCAAGAAACTGGAGCGAGAATTTCAGGAACTAAAGGATAACAGCAGAAACAACACTGATAAAGATAAATGGGTGAGACTTAACAACATTTGGGTGGGATCCAAAATTAGCTTTTTTCCATAGGCAGTGTAAAAAAAAAATACTTGGCAATATTGCTTGGTCATTGTTAAGGTGTTGTGAGTGCTTTTGGGTTGCTTAATAGTGATTGAAAATAGACCAGTTTCTATGATATTGTGGTGCAGAGATGTTGGCAGGGTCATTTTTCTGGTAGTTGCTTGGTTTTTTTGGTTGTTGGCTACTGCCTCAAGTGAAAAAAGCCCACCCCCGAAGTCTATTCAGATCCCTTATTCATGATCCCTGTGACCTTTTTTGGTTTAAGTCAATGGGCAGGGATGCACATAAGTGTGCATGCTTGACTGAAATAAAAAATGCGCTGTGTAAATTAGTTAAGACCGTTACCTTGCTTACTGACTTGGCTGACAGCTGTTAATGCACAATCACCATTTTAGATTGACTAAACTTAATACTGTATAAAATTTCCATTGGAACTGAAAGCATAAATCTAGGCTCTGCTGGTTTCAGAGCAAATCTATAACATTTTATTCACTGACACACTTCACTCGGCAATGCTAAAACCGACAACATATCCTACTTACTTGCCAGCAACCTGCCAAAATAAAGGCTTGATGATTTTAGGTTTGAAAATGATGAAAATTCGTTTAAAAAAATGAAAAAGTAAAAAAAAAGAAATAAAAGAAAATGAAAATATTAGCATTGTATTTTTAAAATTTGCTATAAAATAATAGTATTTTTATTTAATACCCACTTTTAATCGATTTTATTATCATACTTTATTTTATTTCATTTTGTAAAAAAAAATAAAAAAATAAATATTTTAATACAATTATCACTATTATTTATTTTATTTTTTATATACTATTTAATGGGACACACTATGTGCAGTGTGAACACCAAACCAAAAATCCAGGTGCTCTCATGAGAACCAGACTGAAAAACTTATGTGCACCACTATCAGTGGGTTTTTAAGCTATTTTTTTGTCCGCCATGTGATTTGACATATAATTTCTAAAAATACTAGGACACCTCTACGTAGGGCTGTGCAAAAAATCGAATGTGATTTTCATGCGCATCTCATCAGTAAAGCCGCTTCTGGTGATTAGTAGTAATTCTCCAGCACGTGCTTTCAGATGGAGAGGTTTTTTGCACAGCCCTACCTCTACGCAATAACCCAAATAATTGTCAAAAACAGATAAAAGTGTACAAGTAGATCTGAAAATCTGCATTTGTTAAAGATTTTTTACATGATTTTATTTGTATTTATATCTTACTTTTTTATGTGTGTTTAATCTGTTCTGTACTTCAGAGCAAAGAGAGAGAAGGCATTCTTAGCCAGCAGCTAGAGGGTGCACGCCAACAGCTGGCTGATGCTCTTGGACGTCTTGCCCATCGTGAAGAGGATGTACGCCGCTGTAATGTGGATCTTACTGAAACTCGTTCACAGCTTGTCACTTTAGAACTAGAGCTCCAAGAGGCTCGGGAAACCTTGAGAGGCCTGGAAGAGAAGGCACAGAAGCAGATCTCCTTACAGGTCCGAATGAGAGAGGAGAACGTCAGGCTGCAGAAGCGTGTGGAACTTCAGGAGTATAGTAAAGAGGAGGAGCAGAGATCTCTGTTTGATCTCCAGGGCTCAGTCAAGAACCTGAGTGCTGCGAGAGCTGACCTAGCTGCCAGACTGGCTGAGGTGGAGAGCTCCAAGAAGGATCTAGAAAAACAGCTTGCTATGGCTCAGGAAGAGAGCTCCTCTTTTGGACGACAGCTGGAACTGGAGAGGCAGGTGCATCAGAAGGAGCTAAGCCACCTCCGAATGACCCAGCAAGAAGGAAAAGCCCAACAGGACAGGGATGTACATGACATGCTGAGATTATATCAACGAGAGCGAGAAGAACTGGAGGCCCTCGTTAGAGACCTTAAGGTTTGAATATTAATCAAAGAACCTGTCTATTAGGGGTGGGAATCACCAGAGGCCTCACGATACGATATTATCACGGTACTTGTGTCACGATACAATATTATTGCAATTTATTAGCTTTTTCCAACTTCAAATTATGTCCCCAAAGGAAAACTTTGACAACATCCGTTTTAACTAAAAATCAACATTTCTCAGTTTGTTTATCTCACTTAAGTTTTATTGTTGCAGTGCAGAATGGGATTGTCAAGCAGACAAACTGACCAACACTTTAATGAAAACCTGTCATAAATGTTGTATGCACCTGGCAAACTCAACTATTTGTATTACAGTCTAATCTAGTCCACCTTAATTAAATGTAAACAGGTATGCACTGCTGTGCTACTACAGGTATTTTGAACAGTGCAACTTGAAATTGTACTAAAAAGTTGTGCAGACCCTTCAGCAATTGGGGCAATTGAAAGTAAATTACTGTTAAATTAAAATTAAATTAAATAAAACATGTAGTCTTACATCTAGGATGCAACGAAATGAAAATTCTGGGCCGAAAAGGAAACCGAAAATTCAGGATGCACTTGGCCGAAAACCAAAACTGCTTATAATAATTATTTATTATTTTATGAAATAATATAAAGTAACTTTGTAAGACTTTTTAAACGTAACTCAATTTTAATGATACTGAATAAAAAAAAACACAAGCCAATAAAATAACCACACTTTTACTGAAAGTAACAATAAAATTGAACAGAATTTATATTAATATTGGTAACTTTACAATAAGGTTCATTAGTTAACTTAGAATGAACAATAGTTCTTCAGCATTTACTAATCTTAGTTCATGTTAATTTCAACATTTACTAATGCATTATTAAAATCAACAGTTGTGCTTGTTAACAGTTAATGCACTCTGAATTGACATGAACTAACAGTGAATAACTGTATTATAACTAATATGTAACTGAATAACTAACATTAAGAAAGATTAAGAAATACTGTAATGTATTGTTCATTGTTCGTTCATGATAGTTAATACATTAACTAACATTAACTAATGGAACCATATTGAAAAGTGTTACCTTAATATTAAATATCAATATATAATTTTTTTGGCGCGCCATATATATTATTATCATTATTATTATATGTAGCCTATATTTTCGGTGCACCCCTACTTACATCCCCTCCTTGTTTACAAATCCGAAGTAAGTCCATAAATCCGATTTAAAGGCAGACGGGGCTTTCCTGATAACTTTCCATGATGCCGCCCTCTTTATTTTACTTACTGCATGCCGAAGGTGGCCCAGCTGACCTCATCAGAAAAAAACTCAACTCCACCATCTAGTGGATTGCAAAGAAATTGATTTTATTATTCTACCAAATAGTATAATAAAAGATCGGTACTCGGCGTCCGTGTATCGATACAGTATTGCCGCGGAAAATATCGCGATACTATGCTGTATCGATTTTTCCCCCCACGCCTACTGTCTATATACATGATTAGAGGAGTAGTTTAGCCCAAATTAAAATTCTGTCATTATTTACTCACCTGTATGTCCTTTCAAATCTGTAAGTTGTTATTTTTTTTCTGTGCAAGACTTGATATTAATTGTTGTCGTCTTGTCCAGGACAAACACAAACAAATACATAAATAAAATTAAGATTTCAAATTTGGTTGTCCAATTGGACAGTTAAATCTGTCGTTATACTACTACTACTACTACTACTACAAGAAAATAAATAAATACATCAAATGAGGGACAGAGGCAGCATAAATCTGTCATATATTCATTCAAAAGCTGATTGAAAACAGCAAGCATGCATATTATGTTGATTGCAAAAAAAAGTAATCAAGAGTCACACCATGAAACTTACAGTATATACAGCTTGTATGGACTACTTGTTTTTTTCCTTGTTTGAAGCACTGTGAGCTGTCGCTGTATCTCAGGAGCTGTGTAATATATATTTTTTTATGCTGCAGTGGAAAAAAATGTCAGGTGCTGTCCATAGCTTAGACGGAGCAATTTTTAGATGCCCTGCTTTATGCAAGGGGTTGCATTTTGGCTAAAGCTTGCTTTAGGCTTGAATATTTAAACATGTTGTGTTGTTCGCCCAATATTACCTCTATTTGGTAATATTAGCAGGTTTTTACCAGAGAGCAAGATTATGGCTAAAGGGATCTTAGAAATCTACAATTATTTCTAAGAAGAAATGAAAAAAACGATGTAATAATATTGTTTCTTTGTTTGTGTAGTCTGAGGCAGTGGCCGATAGTGAACTGAGGAGAGCTCTGCAGCTGAAGCTGGACAAAATGAAGACAGAATGTGATAAACTGACGGAGCAGCTGAGCACCAGCGAGGAAAATCATGCTAAGCTCCTCCACAAATACCACGCCCTCAAAAAAGAGCTGGATGTAAAGGTAAAGGTTAAGGAGAACACACGGCACATAGAAACAAACACAACAAAAAAAGCCATGTGTTTACACTGAACATGACAACACAAGAACACCTGGCCAATTAAAAAAAAAGCCAAATGCTCGACAAAAGCATGAGGCAAAAGTGCATGGTGAGGGAATGAACACTCAACGGAAGACAAAACATGGAGCATGAATGTCCGAACCCCGAAACGGAACTGGAACTAAACTAGACAGAAGTGCTGGGATCTGAAAACCACATTCTTTACTTAAATTACTTTAAATACTAGGACCTAAATTGTACATATCACTACTTTATAAAAAAGGTACTCTACCCCAGTGAAAGTTTTGTACATCTATTTTTGACAGTGTGTAGGCTACACCTTCAAAACAAGCGTGGAACTGTATTTCTGAAATACTTCATTGCTGTTTTATAAATGTTTTGTAAACATCCCAGGAGACAGAAAAGTGGCTTCTGGACAAATACATTCAGTCCAAAGAAGTGAATCTAATCACACTAATGCATTAATCACAGGCAAAAATTAACTTAAAAAATGAACAATGTGTCATAAGTGAAAAAAAGAAAAGAAAAAGAAATCAGTGCAAAATGAAATAGAAAGGGTGATCTATACTATTATATTTCATAGAAAGCATATTCTTTATTCAAGCATCAAAACAAAGCGTATTACTGAAACACACAATACACAATCTTCAAGTACCAATATGTAGCAATTTTGAATAGTTTTATTTTATACAGTATATATAACCATTAGCCTACAACAATAAAAGAGGTTAGATCAATCTGGATACATATAAGTGTGTTTCTCTTACTAGCTGGGAAATGTTGTGCCTACACACATATCTCAGTGTCTCAGATGTTGTCTTAATGTCTCCTATGTAGGGGAAGTTAGCAGAGAGGGTGGAGGAGAGGAGGCAGAGTGCAGAGCACTCCATGGAGGAGCTGCACGAGAGGGTCACGGGCCTCCAGACGGAGCAGGTGACCATCCTCCATGCCGTAGGGACTCGGATTGACTCAGCCTGCCAGTTCTTGTCAAAAGACTCAGCCGCCAAGCTTGAAGTACCCCCACACACACACTACACTACCCTACACTGCAAAAAACATATGGTGCAATATAGTAAAAGCTGCATCCATATTTGTGTACTGTCAAGAGTATGTGCTGCTTTTTCTGAAGAACTTACTATTTGACTTATAAAGTATGTGTAGCGTGAATTAAATCTGGACAAGCTACAAATGCCATGTTGGCATGTGACTTGTAATGTTAGCTATGTCACTAGCTGTTTCCATCCACCTATTTTTATGCATATTTTGGGATATCACTTAACACTGGATGGAACACCAAGATGTGCATACATATAAAAAAAAACAAAAAAAAACAAATATATATATAGATAAATAGGCAGATAAATCTTTTATTCTATAAGAAAACATGCGCATAAACTTTGATAGAAACATAGAGTCAGGTCCGGAAGTATTTGGACACTGACTGAGTTTTTGTGCTTTTGCCTTTATACACCACTACAATGGATTTGAAATAAAACAATCAAGATGTGATTTAAGTGCAGACTTTTAGCTTTATTTTAAGAGGTTCCACAAAAATATTACATTTACCATTTAGGAGTTAGCCATTTTAAGCAAAGTACTGTACCTCCCTTTTCTGGGGCTCAATAGTATTTGGACAGTTGACTTAGAAGAGGTTAATTGACCAAGTGCTGTCCATTCCCTCGTTGCTTCAAGTAAAAAAACAAAAAAAAACAAATATATATATAGATAAATAGGCAGATAAATCTTTTATTCTATAAGAAAACATGCGCATAAACTTTGATAGAAACATACAGTCAGGTCCGGAAGTATTTGGACACTGACTGAGTTTTTGTGCTTTTGCCTTTATACACCACTACAATGGATTTGAAATAAAACAATCAAGATGTGATTTAAGTGCAGACTTTTAGCTTTATTTTAAGAGGTTCCACAAAAATATTACATTTACCATTTAGGAGTTAGCCATTTTAAGCAAAGTACTGTACCTCCCTTTTCTGGGGCTCAATAGTATTTGGACAGTTGACTTAGAAGAGGTTAATTGACCAAGTGCTGTCCATTCCCTCGTTACTTCAAGACAAATTAAGCAGATAAAAGGTCTGGAGTTGATATGAGGTATCAAATTTGCATTTGGAAGCTATTTGACTGGTGCTTCCAATATGATGTTCAAGGAGATCTCGATGAAAGTGAAGGATGCCATCACTAAGCTGAAAAACCAACATAAATCTATAAGAGAGATAGCAAAAAACGTAGGCTTGGTCAGATCAACGGTTGGCTACATTGTTAAGAAGAAAGAAAGCTCAACAACATAAAATGGCCTGGAAGACCACAGAAGACAACTAAAGTGGATGATCGCAGAATCCTTTACTTGGTGAAGAAAAACCCCTTCATAACATCAACAGAAATCAAGAATACTCTGGAGGAAGTAGGCACATCATTGTCAAAATCTACAATCAAGAGATGCCTTCATGAATGTAAATATAGAGCGTTTACAACAAGGTGCAAACCACTGGTAACATTCAAGAACAGAAACGCAAGATTAGACAGAAAACATCTAAAAAAGCCTCCCAGCTTCAAGACAAATTAAGCAGATAAAAGGTCTGGAGTTGATATGAGTTATCAAATTTGCATTTGGAAGCTATTTGACTGGTGCTTCCAATATGATGTTCAAGGAGATCTCGATGAAAGTGAAGGATGCCATCACTAAGCTGAAAAACCAACATAAATCTATAAGAGAGATAGCAAAAAACGTAGGCGTGGTCAGATCAACGGTTGGCTACATTGTTAAGAAGAAAGAAAGCTCAACAACATAAAATGGCCTGGAAGACCACAGAAGACAACTAAAGTGGATGATCGCAGAATCCTTTACTTGGTGAAGAAAAACCCCTTCATAACATCAACAGAAATCAAGAATACTCTGGAGGAAGTAGGCACATCATTGTCAAAATCTACAATCAAGAGATGCCTTCATGAATGTAAATATAGAGCGTTTACAACAAGGTGCAAACCACTGGTAACATTCAAGAACAGAAACGCAAGATTAGACAGAAAACATCTAAAAAAGCCTCCCATGTTTTGGAATAAGATTGTTTGGACTGATGAAACCAAGATTAACTTGTACCGAACTGATGGGAAGAGAAAAGTATGGTGAAAGACAGGAACAGCTCATGATCCAAAGCACACCACATCAAGTGTCAAACATGGTGTTATGTGTTATGGCATGGGCATATATGGTTACCAATGGAATGGGCTCACTGGTGTTTATTGATGATGTTATGCTGACAGAATTACCAGGATGAATTCTGAGTTCTTTAAGGCTATACACTCACATTCAGCCAAATGCTACAAAACTGATACGACGCAGCTTCACAGTGCAGATGAATAATGACCCTAAACATACTGTGAAAGCAACTCAAGACTTTTTGAAGGCAAAGAAATGGAATATTCTCAGTCAGTCGCCTGCTCTCAATCCAATAGAGCATGCTTTTCAGTTACTGAATACAAGACTGAAGACAGAAAGACCCACAAACAAGCAGCAACTCAAGGTGGCTGCAGTGAAGACCTGGCAAAGCATCTCCAGGGAGGAAACTCAGAATTTGGCAGTGTCCATGGGCTCCAGACTAGCAGTGACTGCTATTAAAATTGTGCTTATATTTACAGTTACTCTTAAAATAAAGCTAAAATTCTGCACTTCAATCACATCTTGATTGTTTTATTTCAAATAAGTGGTGTATAAAGGCAAAAGCACAAAAACTCAGTGTCCGAATACTTCTGGACCTGACTGTATTTATTGAATAAATTCCTTGTTGCGCAAATGTGACTTTGCGTGATGGGACAGCATAACTGGACTAATCAGCAGACAACCTCATTGCGCAGCATCTGAAATGCCTTAACCAAAGTCTATCATCAAAGTGGTTTGGTATAATTACCTCCCAGAACTGTCTTACACAGCTTTGTTCCCGAACAGCAGGCATGTGCCTCTGAAATCAAGATAACATGACCGTGTTTGTAATTTATGTAATGTAATTCATTATATACAAAAATTGGACTCACAGTGGTTTCTCCTACTGCAGCAAATTACCTTTTTTCTTAGTAATATTTAGCACCACCAGTTTATTATGAAGTTACAGTTTTGTTCTCTTCATCTCCCTGGATGAAAATGGTGCTTTATTTACAAATGTTTTATGCGAAATTTCAATTATTAAATTAAATGAGCAACTTTGAACATAGCTACTGTTCTCTACCATTGATGACTTCTATGCCCTCATGGCATGTTTAATGACAGTGAATAACTTTAATTAAATTGAATTGCCATTAAGTTAATAAAGTTAACTTAATGGAAATTTCTGACTGGTGTTGCTCCTGAGCATTAAACAGTTTTAGACTCTAGAAATTTTTCAGAGTACAGACGAATCCATGTAGTGTAACAAAAGATTAAGAATAATCTTATAAAAAATAAGTAACAACATAAAATTAAGATAAAAAGACATTAATAAACGTCTCCCACTCAACTAGGACTCGACAAGATGGACCTAACACTGCCTTGTTACATAGAAAAATTTTATATTAAAGAGGAATTCTGATAGTGCCAAGTGTTCCTCCCAGATGAGTCTCATCTCTAAACTGTGAAGTCACTCCCTGCTTTTTGCAGGTTGTCTGTACTTGTTTCTCAGGGCTTTAAGTACACTTTCTTTTCTCTCAGCTCAAGCTGTCAACATCCATGTTATATTCCAGTCTTTAATGTTCTTCTGCATCCTTCACACCTTTTTATCTGCTGCTGGCAGCCCCCTTTGATTTAAGTGACAAAATGGCCTTCTTCCCCATCATGCGTTTGTGTCAGCAGTCTAAACCGGCATGGCGGTGTTTAAACATTGTTGTCTGTGACAGGTGAGCTGTCAGGGGTACACAATCCTCCTCCACATGCTCGCTGACAGACCCACCTCCTGTGATCGCTTACTCTGGAGGTGTACAACATGGCTCTAAATGAGAAATTTGTAAATGTGCTTATTTTTGCATTGCAAAGTGATTCAACTATGCGGAGGGGTTTTCCCACGGAGCCCAAGAACTCTGAGGTTTACGGTCCTCCAGTAGACTCACTGTCTTGGGAAAAAAAAAAAACAGATCAAAGGAAGTTCCTCCTGAACGATTCAGAATATTTTTCCTTCTTAACCTCTGCAGAGATGTGCAATTTTACATAGTGTCATTATACAGGTTTTTTTTTTTTTTTTTTTTACTTTCGTGCATAATTTGTATAGCAAAACTGCTTTACTCCTTGTGTGTTTTCGGTGTTGTAGGCCATTACCTTGACTCCAGGACTGCAGAAAGATTCCCATCGCTGGCTTGCTGAAGTTAAGGTATATTGTTGAGCTCAGCTCTCAATAATCAATTCTCTAGCTGATATCATGCGTCTTAACACAGTTGTTGTTCTTTACTGTCTCAGACTGATGGAAACATCCTCCAGCTCTCAGGGACTTAATTGTCATGTTTTATCAGGTTTTATTTCCAAAATGTGTATGTTAACACATTTAAATGCATGTGTAGCTGGTTGTGGCTGTGTTTGTAGTGGTGTGTCTAATGTTTTTCATGAGTATATTTAAAGACCCCATGAAATGGTTCGAGAAGCAGAGTTTTAATTTGTGTTAATTTTTTATTGAATCAGAAAGGGTAATTAAAGGCCCTTCTTCTTAAATATCCACTTGCTGTGAACTATGATTTGTACTTGCTATTGCTAGTAATTCTCATTCTAGATAGCATTTTGTTGGAGAAAAATTTGAAGACTGAGTACAAGGTGAATTTTTGGTCCATTTTAATACAGAGAAAACCTGTAAATTGTACAGTTGTGTAATGCTGCTAAAACATAATTCAGCAGACTTTCGAAGTACACTACTAGTAAATAGGTGACTTCATAGCTAATACACATGGATTACAAGTCACAAAACTTGATTTCATGGGGTCTTTAAAGTCATGTTAGTGGGCAGTTTGTGCTTTTTCAGAATAAGGCTGTGACAATACAATCATTTATTGATTTTTTTAGATTCTTATATTGATTTTAATTAAATATTAAATATAAATATAAATATGTATTTATTATTAGGATTTAATTAATGCTTGTATGCATCAGGGTTGTTATTTCTGGGAATATAATTATAAAATTTGATTTGTGTCTATAAAATTAGTAACTAATATTTAGCTTTTATTTAAACAGTGGTTTACTGAAGAAATTGTTCGCTCTTTTAATAAACTCAATTATAATTTAAATTTTTCTAGGGATAAAAATCTATCTCAGCTTCTGCTCTAAACTATAGTAAGACCTTTTTACATTACTGTAAGGTTACAATTAAGAACAGAGCATAATGCAGTTTTTAAATGAATTAAAAAAATATTTAAATGAACTACATTATACAATTTTTATTTGTTGTTGATATATAATAATTTGCACAGTGACTGTCATAACTTGTTTCATAATAGATTTATTTAAACACATTAAATAATGAAGATTTCACTAACAGGAAAAGTAAAATCTAATGAGTATATGTAATATTTAGCGAAATGCTCTTCTCTGCACTTCATTTCGCTAGAAAACTAACAAGTTGTAGACTGTTTTATTCACATCTTTCTGCAGTTGAAACACTGATTGAGGAGGCATGAGATGTTCATTCATGTTTATTTCGAATTAAAACTAGTAGTAAAGAGATTGTGCGCTCCGTGCTGCCGTTTGAACTGAGGTGTTTATGCAGTGAACTGTCACACCACATCAAAGACCATGAAAACGGCATGCATTGTTTGAATTTCCTGAAAAAGTGGACATAATTTAAAGGTGAGAATTTGTTTCTTATCAAAATAACAATATATAAAACTGGTAATTTCCAATGAAGTTCCACTCATGCAGTTGTTAAAACAATGCTGTATTTGTTCGGTACACATGCGTACCAAACCGAAAGACCTGAACCAAATATTTTCAATTCAAATACGTGTACTGTTACACCCCTAATTAACAGAAATAATAACCTTGTTGTGCATTCATATTTCACAGTTTAAATAATCAAGCAGGTGATACTAATAATCCTAATTTGTAAGTCGCTTTGGATAAAAGCGTCTGCTAAATGACTAAATGTAAATATAATAAGCATAAAATCTTTAACTGGCATTTATGACTAGCAGTTATTATATCACGATGTGATGATGTGATGTATATCAAAAGGAAGTTCCAGAGACACACTCCTATTTCAGAAGGTTTTACATTGACGTGAGCCACTTTTCCACCATCAGGCCGAATGGTTCCAAGAATGATATAGAACGGTTAGTTATATTTCCACCTAAGCTTGGTTCAGTATGGCACAGTTACAAACTGCTCTCAGCCCGGAATTCTACTATGCTGGTAAAATGCGTGTAGTGACATCGCCATCCAGGATTGGTCACTTGTTGTCTAGTTTCTGTCTGTTGCTCACCAAGCACAATTTTTGAGCGAAGTAAAATATGTGATCATCCTCCATAATGCGGCCACTTTTTACATCTCATACCGTATGTAAACACTTGTGTTACCAAGGCAACAAATTATGCATTTGTATTACAAGCTCTGTTATCAACCCCGCATTGGAAAATTAAACCATATCCGTGCTGGCTGGGCTGAATCGTGGGGACGGTTTGTTCCTATGGTGAAAAAGTGGCTTATACAGTTGTATGTATTATTGTGATACAGATGTGTATACTGATTATCCCTTTGTGTCTTCAGACAAAGCTCCAGTGGCTGTGTGAGGAGGTGCGTGAGCGGGAGTCCAGAGAGAGGAGATTGAGGAGGACACTGCAGCAGCACAAGGAGCAGATGAAAGCACTGAAGCAAAGCAAGGACTCAGAACTGCAGAGCTTCCTGGACCGCATTACCCTGCAGGATCGACTCCTCAAAGACATCCAATCAGAGAAGAGAGGTACTAACTCACCTCAGAGAAAGGTGATTACTAGATCAGATTTTATTGGGCCTGACACTTCAGTACAGGTAATGTGAAGTCCTATTAAATTTTTCTACTGTATATACTGTATAAAATGTGTATATTTTTTGGCTGACTTCTATTATAGCTGACATCTATTAGTCAGTATAGTTTAGAATTAGCTAATCACAGGTACAAAACATGACCTTGTTAAAATGTCCAACACACCAATCAGTTATTTTTTGGATTTATCAAACCGATTCACAAAGCACTTTTCACCTTATAAAAATGCACCATTGTAATTGTAGTTTAAAAACGGTTTAAATTACAGTCAAAAATACTGTTATTGTTACTACTGGAAATTATTTTAATAAAAAAATAATGTTAATGAAAATATTAATATAAACTATTAGATTTCTCCTTTAATTTTTTTAATCTATTTCCCTTTTTTTCATGACAGTGGTGACTAATACAATATCACCATAGTATTATTGATGTAACAATGTCAAATTGTCAAAATCGTAGCAGAATTGAGGATTATCATGGTAACTTTTATAAAGTGAATGTTACACACAAGTTGCATCCAAACAAGACGATATAAAATGAAACAACCCAATTTCAAAGAATCTTTTTTCTAAAACATGACATTTGTTTATAATGGTTCAGAAAAAAAAGAATTTCCCTGTGATGCTTGTATATTCCCTGCTGGACATTGTTAGTAGACACCTTTTTCTGGTGGCTTTAAGCCCAAAGTATACTTTGGCCGTCCACGTCCTGCTACAGTCCGTATAATTTCGGTCCGCGTACAACAGCGCAGGTGCGAGGTTAATGTTGAGACAGAACGAGTCCACTAGGTTGTACTGCGCATGTCAACTGTCATCCACAGTTGAATATACTTTGAAATAGGGATGTAATGATTACCGGTTTGACGATAAATCGTGATAAAATACCCCAAGGTTAGTATTACCGTTTCATATTTTAATTATCACTATAACCGTATTCGATTACCGCGATTTGAACAACTGAGGATAAATAAATACTGTACTGCACAGGGCTCCAGTGTGCGACCAAATGGGCACATTTTGCGATAATTTTTTCTACCAGTGCGACTAAATTTTGTGTGCGGTCGCACTGGTGCGACCACCTCATTGTTTAACTCATAAGCGCTGCATTTCTGTTGCATATGAGAAACATCAAAAGGCAAACGAAACTAAAAACATAACGAAACCGCGCTACTCGTTTGAACTGCGCAGCACTTTGAGTGTAGAGCCTGGTTTATACTCGCCGCGTCAGCATGAGCACGAAGCTGCGTGCAGCAAAAATGAAGCGAATATTGAGGAAACGATGGATGGGTTTCATGCTAAAGTAAAGTAAAAGACTGCTTCTTAAACCAAAGGTGAACATGTTGGTATTGTTATGAGGGAAAAAAAACATGCAAGCAATGTCACCGACAGCAAGTGTAGTTTTACTTTTCTTTTTGTTTACATTTTAAAAAGCTTGTTATCTTTGCTGTTTACCTCACGATACGCTATGGAGGCTCTCTTTTATATATATATATATTTTTTATTTGATTCCTCAGTGTTTGCTAAACTTTCTGTAATTTATTAGTCTGTATAGAATACAACATGTGGTGTATGCCATGCCTCGTCTTATTCGTTTTTGTTAATAAACGTTTTGTAAGCCAGTTTGTCATTGTATCTTACTGTTTTATTGTTGTTATGCTTTTTAATTAAAAATAACAATGAATCCATCTTTTGTTTTAGTCTTAAAAAGTGAATGGTGTGTAGATGTATGTAAGCAAATCAGACAATTATCTTTTCTTGTAAAACGTGACACCAAGATCGCGAATTCGAAAGTGAAAGCACCCGAAGCCTGGCTTATAACACAGCAAAATAGGAACTCCCGTTCACAAAATTTAAATCACAAATAATACTGATGAAAAAGAAAGAGTTGAATGTTAACCACTTTCGTTTTCATATAACTTTAAACTATGATAAAAGTTCATCAGCATGCATTGATTAATCCCAAAAAATAAAATATATATTACGACCAAATCATGTGCTCGTGTGACCAACTGAGAAAGTTAGTCGCAAAAGAGTGACCAGTGGGAAGAATGAGTCTGGAGCCCTGAAGCATAAAACACAGTTTTAAGTAACAGTGTTGCGTGCGCACAGCAGCAGAGTGGTTTAGTCTTGTGTGAAAACATGGAGGAAAAGCTGGGAGGTTTTAAAGAGTGCTAAGGGAATTATACAAATTAATATATGGATGAATTAATTATATGAATGTACCTCTGAAGATTCTGACTGTCTTCAGAAAAGATTTGATTGCATTTTGTTTTCGTCTTCGCTCCATGTAATACCTAATAAAGTAATGTTTTATGCGCAATGCTGTTTTGTCCTCGGAGGTTACTGGGAAACAGCTCTAATTCTACTGTTCCAAAAGCGCCCCCCAGTGTCAGAGAGTGGATTTACAGAGAGTTACATTTACATTCAGCCTGGGTGCAGTTTTTGTCTGGGCCAAAAAATGGATCGAATTTGCATGCCCTGCTGTAAATTTTGACCGGTTGATGAAAAACAAGCTTATGTGGATTCTGCACATTTAAACAATTAAGGTATCTAGTATTATTTATGGAGCAGATAAAATGCATATAATCATTTATTAATCAATTATCATTTTGACTTAACCCTTTTCTTTATTTAAAAGCTGAAATGTGAGGTTTACCATTTATGAAACTTTTTCCAAGCTTTATTTGAACATTTGCATTAGATATTTGAACATGCTATTAGATAAACTGTTATCAGTCATGTTGTCATTTAAAATCCAGACATCATTGGCAATGTTATTGTTTTAGTTATGCAAACAAAAACTGAAATGGTTTGTGTGTCAGTACTTTTTGAACATTTCCAGCACATTTGAACAATACCGTGATAATACTGATAACCGTGATAATTTTGGTCACTATAATTGTGATAAGAAATTTTCATACCGTTACATCCCAATCTGCGTCGGACATGACTGTGTGTGAGACTGAACAAAATGCAGAAAAAAAATTATACCCCCCCCAGAGCAGCTGAGAACTATGAATGGCTCCCTCTGAGCACCAGTTGAAACATCAAGTTCTTCTATCTTCTATATTTGATGGAATTTTTGCTTATACTGGTCATGCTCCACACTAGTAATAGAAACAGGATCAGGAAAGATTGCAGTCACTGATCTTATGCTAATATTTGCTGCTGTTCCAATAGCTAAACTGTTATCAGTCATGTTGTCATTTAAAATCCGGACATCATTGGCAATGTTATTGTTTTAGTTATGCAAACAAAAACTGAAATGATTTGTGTGTCAGTACTTTTTGAACATTTCCAGCACATTTGAACAATACCGTGATAATACTGATAACCGTGATAATTTTGGTCACTATAATTGTGATAAGAAATTTTCATACCGTTACATCCCAATCTGCGTCAGACATGACTGTGTGTGAGACTGAACAAAATGCAGAAAAAAAATTATACCCCCCCCAGAGCAGCTGAGAACTCTGAATGGCTCCCTCTTGAGCACCAGTTGAAACATCAAGTTCTTCTATCTTCTATATTTGATGGAATTTTTGCTTATACTGGTCATGCTCCACACTAGTAATAGAAACAGGATCAGGAAAGATTGCAGTCACTGATCTTATGCTAATATTTGCTGCTGTTCCAATAGCTTTGTCCTTGACAACACTAGCCAGATCTCTCCCTTTGTTTGACTTGCTTCTGAAAAAAAAAGAAAATGAAACTGCTTAAATACTACAAACCAATACTGTTTTCAAGTGTAGTAATAAAGGCAGAAGTCTTCAAATCTGAACTGTTTGTTCTGGTTTTGGAGTCATCATCTATCATCCCAACAGTTGACTTTATTTAAAAAGGACAGTTCACCCAATATTCTCTCTTTAAAAAAAATGTTTCACAGAATGTTTCACGTCTTACTGCGCTTAAACTGTCAAAGACACACACGGTTTTGTCAAAAACACACAGCGTTCACATAAACGCAGTCGGTTATGTCTGTGAACGTAAACGGCTGGGAGAAATCGGATCTGTGTAATAAAGTGACATCGGCGTAATATGGAGTACCTACTGCTGTTTTTTCTGTTAATATGAATAATAAAAAAGAAAAACAGAATCACTTCCTGCTCTTGACTGAATAACTTTATTAGCTTTACTAAGAATAAATTTCTTACTTGTATGCTGCTGTTAAATGACCTGGTGAGATGAACATCCAGGTATTTGTGTTTTGTTTATGTCTCTGGAACTTTAAGGGCTAGAATGAAAATTTCTCTGAATCATTGAGTTAAGCCATACATAAAATATATGTCCGATTTCATTTCCGGCTTTGCCAAACCACTACCTGACAATTAAAGGAGGTAGAAGTGACACATATCCTGGCTTAGCACACAAAAAAAACTTGACCGGGCCAGGAGCGAAGTCCAAACAGGAAGTGCTCACTAAAAAAGCCTCCAAGTCACAAATGTGCTTGAGAAAAGATAGAGCCATTAACAGAACTGCCTTAAAAGTCAGAATCCTAATGGGAACGGACTCCCAGCCTTCAAAAGGAGGCCTAGAAAGACCTTCTAGGACAACATAAAGATCCCAAGAAGGAACAGAAGTGGGATAGTAAGCTCTTAGCCATGTTACCCCCACATAAAGCTGGAGACAAAAAATTTTACCAAAATGTTTTAGGGTTTGGATCTATCGATTTAATAAACTATAGATCCCATAATTAATTCACTAAAACCCCTTGTTGTTGTTTTTTGCCCCAAATTCTCACTGGCACCACTTTTCCAGATACATAGGCATTTTAAAGTGCAATTTTTACCCATTCCACTTCTAATCCCTATTATCATGTTTACTGGAATATAAATAAAACTATGAATTGCAATTCACATGAAATATGTTACATAAATTACTACAGTAATACTTAACATGTCCGTAATATTGCTGCAGAAAGGCTTATTTGACCATTAACATGATCTGCTAAAGATAATTTGGTAATAATTTTACACTTAAGCTTCCTTCTGATTTTCTGTGGTAAATGCCTATTATTGCATTCATAGAGCGAACGTTGCTGATGGTTTAGTTTAACAAAAGTTACTCCCCAGGGTTTGTACAAGGTGCTTAGAACGTTTGAAGTACTTGAATTTGAGTTTTTGAAATTTAAGCCAGCCATGTTAATGAAGAGTTACTTGAAAATTCTTAAATGTATAATTTTCGACAATATATATTAAATCGGGCTCGACAGTAAGGACTGTCCAATGGCCTGGGGTCAGATTTAAAGAAGCTTGGGCCAGTTGATGGAAATGATTGGGCCAGTGTTGCGTTATCACGAAAATTAATAATTTGCTTTGTTTTTGCAGACAAAGATGCAAAAGAGGACTCAATTCAGTACTTGCTTGGTGTTTTCTGCACACACAACCGAAGCACACATAAAGAGAGCTGCGTCTCAGCAGTGCAGTGTCAGTGAGCAGCACAGTTGCTGGATTGAGTTCTCTTTTGTGTCTTCTTGCACTTAAACAGTGAAATAAACATACTTTATTAAGTCAAAATACCTATCTTTGGGAGTGCCCTCATAAACGCAGTCGGTTTTAAATTAACATAACCAGTTGAGAAAGAAATCAGATGTGTGTCAGTATTCAAATCAGTGCTTTAGGTCATAAAGTGACAGCAGCGTAATTATCCTCCTGCTGTCTGTATAATTAATGTTAATCGAACAACAAAAGAAAAACAGAAAAATCACTGCTCTTGACTGAATAACTTTTGTAGCTTTAACAAGCATTAATATATATTTAATTTATACCATGAAGACTATGAAGTCTTTTGTTGTATACTTAAAATATAATTTACTTGTATTTATGTTAAGCAAATGTGTTTGCTCAAACTTGTTTTTTAAGGAGTGTTTTGAATTATAATTGTAAGCCCACTGTTTTCAATAGAATGAGAAAAAATTATGAATATATGGCTATATATCATCAACATGTTATATATTATGTATATTGATTTTTTTCACATTTCTAGTAAAAACTGAAACGGACTAAAAAAAAATTTACTTTTGAAGAAAATTATATTAAAACATAAGAAGTTATAATGTCTTTTGTTTCTCAAATAAAATTAAATACATTTATATTTTATATTTTTAGTTTCCAGTTTTTAATGGACAAATGCCAAAAATTTATATAATATGTAATATATCAATATGCAGCATGAATTCATCAGGTATTTTTCTTTTGAGCTCTATAGAGGAATAAGTCACAAAGGTTTTGTGTGAGTGTTCGTAAATTATTCATTTGATGATTGTTTTCAATATCAGTACTCGTTGATAATTTCTTCCAGGCCTTCTTGAAATGGGCCGCAAGAAGGAAGATGAGATGAGAAATCTTCAGGTTAGTTTGAAGGAGTTTGTATAAATATCACACTGCTAGATACATACGCACACACTGGTTTCCATGTTTTATGGGGACATTCCATAGATGTAATGTTTTTTTTACTGTACAAACTATATTTTCTATCCCTTTACTCTAACCCTCCTTCTAAACCTACCTATTTTAGATTTTCAAAAAAACTTAATTCTGTATGATTTATAAGCTGTTTTCCTAATGGAGACCAAAAAAATGTCCCCACAAGGTAAAAAAGAACTGGTATTGCTATCCTTGTGGCATGACATTATGTAGGGAATGCCAGGTACCAACACACACACACACACACACACACGCACAATCTCCTCTAAAGTTGGTGGTTTAAGTAACCATAACCATAACATTCATGTAATCCTGCATGCACATCAGTTGTCCTGCATGTGGTAGCCATGTAATCACCCCATCTTACCCCGGCTTGTCTGCATGCTTTCAAACCTCACCCACTGAGTTCTGGAACATCTGCTGTGCCACAGAGGCACCTGCTATACTGCCTCTATTATGCATCAATCCCCTTAGAAGAAACCAGCAGCATGCTGCCAGACAATAGGACACAGCTTCAGTAATTACACTTGGCCCTGGAATTTTACCAGGTGCTACTTTTGACTGGTGGATTAGAAACCTCTAGAACTCACTTGAACAGAATTTCCTATGTCCAGTCAAAGTTACCTCTTTTTTTTTCTTTTTTCTCCCCAGGACAGGATTGTAGATCTTGAAATGGTAGGCTATTTTGTTTTACTATTTTGTGTGTGATTTTGTTGCGCTGTGTGAACATGTTCTGTGTGAACAGCATCTGAAGCACTGGACCCAAGTAATACATACCAATGATGAATCTGAGCCACAGATGCACCCCACCACAGTTCAGTTTTGAGTACAGCATAATAGAATATACTACCATGTGTCTTGCTACTACAGTACTACCACTGGAAAATATTGTGGCACCACCAGTATTTTAAGGTTTATGAATTTTGATGGTACCATAGCACTAGTATATTATAACGTGCAACCATCTATATTTTACGGTCTGTCTAAATTTTATTGTGTGCAGCATCTAAAAGATAATAATGAACTAGACCTTAAGACCAACAGACATGGACTAAAAGACACAAAACGATTAATGTTGAGTCTCAAGAAAGTGGCTCTGATGAAACATTTAATTTACAAAGAACAAAAACCTAATACCTAAACTTACTAGAACTAAAATCGTATTCTTCTGGTGCCTTAAAAGCACTTCTGAAATGCAGCTAGTTTAGCTAGTTTAGATTCATAGATATCCTTTCTGCATTTTGGTCCAGAATATTCTGTCTGCAAAGTTAAATTGCTGAAATGTTCCACACCTCAGTACACTATTTGCAAAAGCGTAACGATTTCTGTTAAATGTTTGAATTACAAATCATTACTTGGCTAAGAAATATGCAGCCGTTTGTTAAAAGTATTGACGCCTGCATTGACTCAGCAGTATTTATGCAGTTTGAAAAATAAGCTATCTGACGCCTACCACATCAATCACCATTATGTGCTACGGCTGGCTGACGAACATTTAATTAGCTCCTGAAAAGCTTCAGCCTTTACTCACAGCTCAGTCTATTTACATCATTATTGCTTGGCATCACAACACTCTGGTGTCAGGAATTGACCCTTGCCTCTTCTGGGAGATGCACTCATTCAGATGACTCGCAGCAATAGGGTAGAGCTACTGTAAGTTTTTAAATATTAAAGACAGAATAATTCCACCATTAACACCATTTAAATTTTCTAGAGCACCAGGCTGGCCTTGGATCATCTGGAATCAGTTCCTGAGAAGCTCAGTTTGCTGGAAAACTTCAAGGATCTTGAGGTTGGATCATAAGTGATGTTTTGGTTAAGATTTGACTTCTCTCTAAAGTAGCTATCATGGTTGGCTTATATGGTTTCAGGAGTCACAGAAGCAGAGAGAAATGGTGGAGCAACGTTATGCCAAATATAAGGAGATAGTTGGTAACCTCCAGCATCAGCTTGAGGAATCTAAGAAGAGGATTCAGGAATACAGGGTATGAATGCTTGAGTGGCAAGGACCACAGTCCAGGTCAATTTTCTTACTGTGTAAGGTTAGATCTTAACTCTCGAATCTTATAGACTGATCTCTTGCTGTTAATTTTAGGATGAGAAGTCGGATGCAGCCTGTCGGAGTCTCCAGCTTACTAGTCTGACATCATCTCTGCTCAGTCAGAGCAATTTCCTGACCGATACCACTCTGTCTACCCACACCTGTGAGTACAGGAGTATGGAAGTTGCAGTTAAAAGTTGTTGAAATCATGTTCTGAGGTTGTTGGACAAAAAAAATTAATCACTATTTTGAATATGATGTATATAGTTATAATTTCTCATTTTGGTCTAATAAATTGAAACAAATTAATAGTGGCATTAACCTTCACCCTCATGAACTGAAAATGACATGCCTGAAATTAGTGTTGTGACAGTACCAAAATTTCAGAAGTTGGCGGTATAATAGTGGTAAAATTTCACAGTTCTCAACTTCGTTACCATAGCAAAAACGATAAAATATCAAATAAATTAATTCATTATTAATGGTATAAGAATTATAGGTAAATTATACATTAAAAAATTAGCATGCAGCCTTCGAATATTGTTCAATTATGGGTAGCGAATCATCTCATGGGAAAATATGAATAATTAATCATAACTAGTTATAATTAATTATAAATATTTAGATCCGCTGTAGATATTTACTTGACCTCTCAGGGTCAACTGTCTGTCAATTCTAAGCACGTTAATTTCCAATGAGAAAGGCCGGAATCCCAAGTGGGAGTTTTGAGATACTGTGGAGTTTTAATGTGAGGGCATGGTAATTTGCAAATGGAACTTGAATCGAAATTACTAAAGATTCTCAGGACACTAATATATTGCCTATGTACCAACATATAATATACACGCTCGTTTAGATCATCAGAAGGCAAATTCATAGATACTAAACATGGTAGGATTACATATAGGTAAGATGACAGGAATGAGTGTTTCCATCATAAGCCTGCATAAAACAGTATAAAATCTCAAAGACAACATACACAATGACCTGAAGGATATGTGTGTTCATTCAAAGAAAGGTTTTCCTATGGATTAATTAGAAAAGAGTCAATTTCTACATTGCACTGTGTCTCTTCCTATGGAAAAGGCAGTGATTTTCCCTACTCACATTCCATTAGGTCGTAAATGTATCTGGTGTCAGGGTTGCCATGGTAACCAGGGTCCTGGGCCTTGTTCACAGACAACTTGGCACCCAGTATGTTTATTGGGTGAGGGGTCTGTGAATGTTTGTTAATCTAATGAATAATTGATTTGTTAAATCAAATGAAAAATGGTGTGTCTGATTGGTCCAGACGCTACATATGTAAGCAAAGGTAATGAAATAACAAAGAAACATTACAGGTAACGGAACAAGTGGCAGGTCTATTGTACTTTCACCGCAAAACTTGCAGAGTTCTATTCTGATAAATTAGATTTTTTTGTCCAGTTTTTGTCCAGTTCCAGACTTTAAGCTTTAATTCAAGGGGTTGAATGAAAATATAACAAAATGCTTAGGAATTTCAACCATTTTTTTTTATACATAGTCCACCCATTTTCAGGGGCTCAAATGTAATTGGACAGATAAATATAATCATAAATATAAAATGTTCATTTTTTATATTTTGTTCAGAATCCTTTGCAGGCAATGACTGTCTTAAGTCTGGAACTCATGGACATCACCAGAGACTGGTTTCCTCCTTTGTGATGCTTTGCCAGGCCTTTACTGCAGCTTACTTCAGTTGTTGTTTGTTTGTGGGTCTTTCTGCCTTTGGTTTTGTCTTCAGTAAGTGAAATGCGTGCTCAATCGGGTTGAAATCAGGAGATTGACTTGGCCGTTGCAGAATATTTCACTTTTTTACCTTCAAAAACTCTTGGGTTGTTTTTGCTGTATGTTTTGGGTCATTGTCCACTATGAAGCACCAACTGATCAACTTTGACAAAAAAAAAAAAAAGCCAGACCAAAGGAGCAAAGTCTAATCAGGACTTGTTTGCACCTTGTGGGGAACCCTCTTTATTTGCTCTTGTGAAGTTTTCTCTTGATTGTAGACTTTGACAGTGACACACCTACCTCCTGGAGAGTGTTTTTCACTTGGCTGGATGTTGTGAAAAGGTTTTTCTTGACTGTGGTGAACCCTCTTTATTTGCTCTTGTGAAGTTTTCTCTTGATTGTAGACTTTGACAGTGACACACCTACCTCCTGGAGAGTGTTTTTCACTTGGCTGGATGTTGTGAAAAGGTTTTTCTTGACCATGGAGAGGATTCTCTGATCATCCACCACTGTTGCCCTCCGTGGACTTCCAGGCCTTTTTATGTTGCTGAGCTCACTAGTGTTTTTTTTTCTCAGAATGTACCAAACGGTTGATTTGGCCACTCCTAATATTCCTGCTATCTCTCGGATGATTCACATAGATCATGAAAATGATACATTAGATTTAGCATTTGCTGACATTCTGAACTCCAAACTGATCACGTTTGTAACAGTTTTTTTTTTTTTTTTTTTCAAAACCGGATCACATGCTTTCATTAGTTATATTTTCAGTCCAATCTACAGTTCAAAGCAAAATTAGAGAACAATCTATAAGTATTAGATTTTTTTCAGAAATATTGTTAATCTTCATCGCTCCTCAAAATTTCAAGGATTATTAGCTGTAGTAATACCACTGTTCTACTAACCTTTGACAAAATATCCAAGGCATTTCAACAAAAACCTTTGTGGAAATCAAACTGATCAGAATTAGAGAACGGTAACCACTGTAGCACAAAAGAAAATTACAACTAACATTTAATAATAATAATAATAATAATAATTCATTACATTTATATAGCGCTTTTCTAGGCACTCAAAGCGCTTTACATTGTCAGGGGGTATCTCCTCATCCACCACCAGTGTGCAGCATCCACATGATGCGATGGCAGCCATAGTGCGCCAGAACGCCCACCACACACCAGCTTATTGGTGGAGAGGAGACAGAGTGATGAAGCCAATCAGTAGATATGGGGATTGTTAGGAGGCCATGATGATCAGAGGCCAATGGGAAAATTTGGCCAGGATGCCGAGGTCACACCGCTACACTTTTTGATAGACATCTTGGGATTTTTAATGACCACAGAGAGTCAGGACCTCGGTTTAACGTCTCATCCGAAAGATGGTGCTTTTTGACAGTATAGTGTCCCCGTCACTATACTGGGGCGATAGGACCCACACAGACCACAGGGTGAGCACCCCCTGCTGGCCTCACTAACACCTCTTCCAGCAACAACCTAGTTTTCCCAGGAGGTCTCTCATCCAGGTACTGACCAGGCTCAGCCCTGCTTAGCTTCAGTAGGTAACCAGTCTTGGGCTACAGGGTGATATGGCTGCCTATGGCAGAACAACTAACAGTTTTGAGGCTTACAGTTGTCAGAAATTAGTAGGAAGTGTAGAGGCCCTTACTTTGAGTGACTTCAGCACATCTTTGCCTGCAGGACATCTTTATTCTCTCACACTAGAGGTCCGAAACCGTGAGACCTGACCAGATTTTTTGCGCCGCATGATTAAATTCCCGAATAAAACATGGTAGCGGTTGGTAACACTGGTGTAATTTGAACGGGAGCGGGCGGTCTAACAATATCCCGTTCCCGACATCCATTCAGAACCGCATATCTGCGCTTTTATCTTATTGACCACCAGTTCAGCCTGTACTCGGACTGTTATGCATGCGCTGCACGCATGCTTTCTGCGCCACACGTTTTATTTGCAAGGTCTGTGCGCAGCATGTGCATAACAATACTCAGAGCAGGCTGTACCGGTGGTAAATATACGGCCCTCAGACAGAACAGGCAGGTTGTCCATGAGTGACAGAGCAGAATAAGGATGGAGCAAAGTGTGGATGCGCTGTCCTTGAAGGACGTTCAACTCAGTTTTGTTTATATTTTGCTTGGCCTATGATTTTAAATGACAGATGTGGTATTTATTTATTTTCTCTGCGACTTTCCTGTTTTAACAGAAAAATGTCAAACGAATTTAGTATTTCGACAAGACGAATAAAAATAGCTAGGCTATTTTTGTACAACCTACATTTTTTTTTCTCTGCCACACTTTTTCCTATTGTGTTGTAAATGTTAAACGAATTGTATCCTGACAAGACGAATAAAAAGAAGAAATAAAATTTTTGTACATTTTTATTTTCTGACACTTTTTTTTTTTCCTACTGTGTTGCATAAAATATTAAACGAATTTTGTGTCTTAAGATAATTCATATAAATTCAAGTCAAAGTCAATAAATTCAAGACTCTTGACAAGACGAATAAAATAACATAGGCTAACAAATAAAAGTGTAGTCTGCAAAAAATTGTAGGCTATGTCTTTTTTTTCAGTAGAGGAAATTTAAATGTGAGATTCTGGAAACGAGATCTAAATGTAGCGGGAACGGTCACGTCGGGAAGAAAATTATGCTAAGCGGACAGCGGGTGAACAAAGAGTGAATATATAGCGGGAGCGGTTGGGTGCGGAATACAACCTTGCGAGAGCGGGACTAAAAATGTCCTGCGCAGACCTCTATCTCACACTGCACTGGTATGATCTTCCTCCACTCTTCTTCCAGTCACTTAGTTTGGTAACTGTAGTGGGTTTCTTAGACATAACTTTGTCACCAAGGATTTTCAATCGGGTTTAGATCAGGACTCTGGTCTGGCCATTTCATTATTTAAATTTTCTTAGCTTCAAGGAACTGTTTTACCTGTTTTGCAGTGTGATGGGGGGCATTGTAAACATTTGCATTCACCTTCCATGTAGCTGTTTAAGAGGCCCAACTCCTGCTGCAGAAAACATCTCCCAATCCATGACACTTCCTCTTCCACCTTTCATTGATTTCTTTACAAACTTGGACTTTAGTCTTTCCTCAGTTTGATGCCGAACAAAATGTTTCCCATTAGACCCAAATAAATTAAACTTGCTTTCATCACTAAAGTGAGCTTTGGACCAGTTCTCTTCTGTCCACACAACATGCTCCTCAGCAAAGGTGAGCTTAGCCTTTTGATTCTTTCTGCTGATGAGATGTTTGGCCACTGCAGAGTGCACTTTCAGTCCAACTTATCGTAAACGTGCCGAGACAGATCCATGCCCTGTTCAGAACTGAACTGGCAAGCAATTCCAGCTGCAGTGTTGAACCGATTCCCCATTGAGAGTCTCTGCATTATCTTGTCT